CGCCTCGACATCGTTCTCGAAGTGCTTCAAGATGAAGAAATGAGAGCCCCAAAAGGAGCCCAAGATGGCTCCAGCAGCGCCCTGGAGACTGCCGAAAATGACGATTTCGCTGGGGACATCCTCAAAGCATGAACAACATCAACAACATCGTTTGGAAAACTGCTGTTCTAACATCGACTTGGTATCGCTCCTGAAAAGGCGTCCTGATGGTCTAAGGCAGCCTTCTAAAAATAACGATTTTGCTAGGGACATCCTCAAACAAATAGTTTGTCTAACATCGCACTGTAATGACTTGGAAGGGCATCAAGACGACCCCAAAGGGCCCCAAACGAGCCCCAAGATAACCCCCAGGATCGCCCTCGAGACGACCCCAAAATGTTATTTCGCCTGAACATCCTCAATACATTGATATGTTCGTAACATCGATGTTATCAAACATAAGCGTTTCGCCTGAGACTTCCCCCCAAATGGGAAGAAGTCGCGAATCTGACATATGTTCAACAACTCGTGTATCGCCAGAGACATCCTCCCAACAATGATATGTTGGAGAGGCGGTTCTACTACCTCTCATGTTAAAATTGGCGCTCTCGCTGCAGACATCCTTAGAGAATCGGACGGAGCAAGGCGGACGGAAAAAAGAGCACGGCAGAGAATGAGTATTTCTGCCGTGCTCCTTCGATTGTGGGGTCTATTTGCCGTGCTCCTTAGCGCTTCGGGTATATTCTGCTGTGCTCGTGGTCTTCTTCTGCCGTACTCCTTGGATCTTCGGGCCTGTTCTGCCGTGTTCCTGGTCTTTTTCTGTCGTCCTCTTTAGCTCTTGGGGTCCTATTCTGCCGTGATCCTGGTTTTTGTCTGCCGCTCTCCTTCGCTCATGGGGCCTATTCTGCCGTGCTCCTGAGCTCTTAGGGTTTATTATTTAATCGCTTCGCTCATTCCGCCGGCCCATATTGTCGCACAGTTGTGGGCTAGCCGAGTTTTGGGGCCTCTTGGGGGCCGTTTTGGGGCCTCTTGGGGCCTCTTTTGGGCCTCTTTTGGGCCTCTTGGGGCGTCTTGGGGGCCTCTTGGGGGCCTCTTGGGGCCTTTTTGGGGCCTCCTGGGCGCCTTCTGGGGCGGAGGGCTCGATTTTTCAGTTCTCGGTTCCCCTCTTGAGCCCCTCTTGGGCCCGTCTTGGGGCCTCTTGGTCCGTCTTGGGCGGCACTTGGGCCGTCTTGGGGGCCCTCCTGGGCCGTTCCGGGGCCGTCTTGGGAGCCTCATGGGCCGTCTTGGAGCGGTCTTGGGGGCCTCTTGGGCCGTCTTGGAGCGTCCGGAAGCCGAAAAAGCCAGAACGCAAAAAACAGCGAAAAAAACAATGAAAATCAACGATTTTGGCCTCTTGGGGCCCTCTTCGGAGGCCTCTTGGAAGGCCCTTGGGGCGTCTTGGAGGCCTCTTGGGCTGTCTTGGGGCCCTGTTGGGCGTCTTCGGGCGATCTTTGGCCGTCTCGGGGCCCTCTTGGACCGTCTTGGAGGCTTCTTGGGGGCCTCTTGGCCCGTCCTGGGGCCCTGTAACAGGGCTCCGGCATCTCTGGCCCGACCTTGCGGGGACCTTGCCGGGGACCTTGCCGCCGTGCTCCTGAGCTCTTAGGGTTTATTATTGCTCCGGGTATTTTTCTGCCTTGCTCCTTCGCTCTGGGGGCCTCTTCTGCCGTGCTCCTTAGCTCTTGGGGTCTATTCTGCCGTGTTCCTGTTTTTTGTTCTGCCGTGCTCTTTCGCGCATGGGGCCTATTCTGCCGTGCTCCTTTTTTTTTCTGCCGTGCTCCTTCGCTCTTCGGGCCTTTTCTGCCGTGGTCCTGGTCTTTTTCTGCCTTGCTCCTTCGCTCTTGGGGTCTATTCTGCCGTGCTTCTTCACTCTTGGGTCTATTCTGCCGTGCTCCTGGTCTTTTTCTGCCGTGCTCCTTGGCTTTTGGGGCCTATTCTGCCGTGCTTCGGTCTTTCTCTGCCGTGCTCCTTAGCTCTTGGGGTCTATTCTGCCGTGCTCATGGTCTTTTCTGGTGTCTTTTTCGCTCTTGTGGCCTATTCTGTCGTGCTCCTTAGCTCTTGGGGTCTATTCTGTGAAACCGCGCCAGTGGATCCCCCTGAATACGCAAAAGGGTAGGGGGGGTGAGATTTTCGACCCCCCCCCTCCCTTCCATGGCGTTGGAAAGGGGGGGGGGGTCGACCGCCCCCCCCCTTGCGCCGAACAGGGGGCGGGGGAGAGGGCCTCTCCCGCAAGGGGGGGGGGTCTGGCCTCGGAGTGGGAGTAGAGAGCAGTAAGTAGTGAATCGTGAGTCGTGAGTAGATAGTAGCGAGTAGTGAGGAGTGAGGAGTGGGTAGTGCGCAGTAAATAGTTCGTAGTGAGTAGTGGGTAGTGGGGAGTGGGTAGTGAGTAGTGAGTAGCGTGTAGGGAGTAGCGAGTAGTGAATAGTGAGTCGCGAATAGGGCATTGCAAGTAGTAAGTAGCAAGGAGGGAGTAGTCAGTAGTGAGTAGCGAGTAAGGAATAGCGAGTAGTGATCAGTGGGTAGTGAGTAGTGAGTAGGGAGTAGTGTAGTGAGTGGTGAGTAGTGAGAAGGGAGAATTGAGTATTGAGTAGTGGGTAGTGGGTAGTGGGTAGCGCTTGGGGGGTAGCGAGTAGTGAGTACTTAGTCGCGAGTAGTACGTCGTGAGTAGTGAGAGTAGTGAGTAGTGATTACTGAATAGTGAGTAGTGAGTAGCGACTGGTGATTAGTGACTAGTTAGTAGGGAGTAATGAGTAGTGCGTAGTGGGTACTGAATTTTGTGTAGTGGGTAGCGAGTAGCGAGTAGGAGTAGCGAGTAGTGAGTAGTGAGTAGTGCGCAGTGAGTACTGTGTAGGAAGTAGGGAGTAGCGAGTAGCGAGCAGCGGATAGTGAGTAGTGAGTTGTGGACAATGAGCTGAGAGTAGCGAACTATTCTGCGTACTCGGTAGTGAGTAGTGGTTAATGGGTAGTGAGTAGTGCTTAGTGAGTAGTGAGTAGTGGACAGGGAGTAGTGCTTAGTGAGCAGTGAGTAGTGAGTATGCAGTACTGGGTAGTGAGCAGTGAGTAGTCAGTTGGGAGTTGGGAGTAGTGAGTAGGGAATAGTGAGTAGTGAGTAGTGGGAGCGTAGTGAGTAGTGCGCAGTGGGTAGTGAATAGTGCGTATTGGGTAGCGAGTAGGGTGTTGGGGGTAGCGGGTAGTGAGTAGTGAGTAGTAAGTATTGTGTCGGGAGTAGCGAGTAGTGGATAGTGAGTAGTGAGTTGTGGGCAGTGAGTTGTGAGTAGTGAAGTGCGAGAAGTGAGTCGTGAGTAGTGGATTATGGTCAGTGGGTATTTGGTGTGATTTGTGATTAGTGAGTAGTGGGTAGTGAGTTGTGTTTGGTGATTAGTGAGTAGTGGGTAGTGAGTCGTGAGTAGCTAGTAGTGAGTAGTGAGTAGTGAGGAGGGAGAAGTGGGTATTGAGTACTGGGTAGTGGGTAGTGAGTAGTGGGTATTGAGTAGTGAGTCGTGAGTCGTGAGTAGTGAGTAGTGAGGAGTGAGTAGTGAGCAGCGAGTAGTGAGTAGTGCGTAATGAGTATTGAGTACTGTTGGGGGCTAAAGCTAGGGTTTGGGGTTAGGCGTAGGGGTTAGGGTTAGGGGTTAGGGTTAGTCTTAGGGGTGGTAGGGGTCGGGTTCCGGAGCTCGGGTGCGCCGTGGCTAAAGGGGGGGAGGGGGGGTGGTTGATTTTGGCCCCCCACTTTTGAAAAGGGGGGGAGGGGGGTGTCCCCGACGACGGATCGGGAAAAGGGGGGAGGGGGGTTTCCCGACGACCGATCGTGAAAAGGGGGGGGTCCCCGACGACGGATCGGGGAAAGGTGGGGGGGGAGGGGGTCCCCCCTCGCCCCCTTTTGGGGGAATCCAGCGGTGCACCCTCCTGCTCTGCCGTGTTCCTGGTCTTTTCCTGCCGTGCTCGGCAGCTGTTGGGGTCTATTCTGCCGTGCTCCTGGTCTTCTTCTGCCGTGCTCCTTAGCTCTTGGGGTCTATTCTGCCGTGCTCCTGGTCTTTTTCTGCCGTGCTCCTGCGAACTTGGGGCATATTCTGCCGTGCTCCTTGTCTCTTGGGTTCTATTCTGCCGTGCTCCTGGTCTTTTTCTGCCGTGCTCCTTCGCTTTTGGTGTCTATTCTGCCGTAATCCTTAGCTCCTGGGGTCTATTCTGCCGTGCTCCTAGTCTTTTTCTGCCGTGCTCCTTCGCTCTTGGGGCCTATTCAGCCGTGATTCTGGTCATTTTCTGCCGTTCTGCTTAGCTTTTGGGTTCTATTCTGCTGTGCTCCTGGTCTTTCTCTGCCGTGCTCCTTCGCACTTGGGGCATATTCAGCCCTGCTCCTTAGCTCCTGGGGTCTATGCTGCCGTGCTCCTAGTCTTTTTCTGCCGTGCTCCTTCGCTCTTGGGGCATAGTTTGCCGTGCTTCTGGTCTTTTTCTGCCTGCTTCTTAGCTCTTAGGGTCTATTCTGCCGTGTTCCTGGTCTTTTTCTGCCGTGCTCATTCGCTTTTGGTGTCTATTCTGTCGTACTCCTCAGCTCTTGCGGTCTATTCTGCCGTGTTCCTGGTCTCTTTCTGCCGTGCTCCTTCGCTCTTGGGGCCCATTCTGCCGTGCTCCTGATCTTTTCCTGCCGTGCGCGCCCAGAAGCTCCGCCAAAACGACCACCGCGACGATCCGCACGGCAGAATACAGGAACACGGCAGAACACACAGAGCACATAGAGGCACGGCAGAACACAGAAGCACGGCAGAACAGGAGCACGGCAGAACACACAGGAGCACAGCACAACACACCCCGCGCGCACGCCGACACGCGCGCCACGGCATACCTGCGCGGCGTAACAACAGAGCATACTCCACATGCTTGGTGGACTAAAGCGACGCTTCCCGTTCTTGTCCGCTCAGGTTCTCCAAAACAGCGATTTCTCCCGAGACATCCTCACACCATCGAGATCTTGGAGGTTTTCGTGTAAGACGTTTTATTTACAAAATGAGCGGTTCGCTCGCTCCTGGGAAGATACTTGTCCTTCCAATCCTGCTTGTCTCCTACGGCGTGATATAGGCCACCCTACGCCGATAGAAGTACTTGCTGAATATGGGTGCCGACGAGGCCAGCTCTGCTATGTCCAGGGACCCATTCTTTCAATACCTCCACCCTACTCCCTCCTTTTCGCCCTCCTCTGGCTAATTCATACAGCGCTGCTGTGGGGTCACCCGGGTGCTGTATGCCTTTGAGCTTCGCCGAGCATAGGATTTCTTCATTATCATATCTCCTCTCCTCCTTGTCGCTTCAGGCTCAGCGAAGCTGTCTTCCTCTAAATCGGAGCTGGCTCATCATTGGCTCCTGGGTTGATATTTTTTCTTTCAATCCTGCTTGTCTCCTGCGGCGTGATATAGGCCACCCTACGCCGATAGAAGCACTTGCTGACTATGGGTGCCGTCCAGACCTGCTCTGCTAGGTGGAAGGCCCCATTCTTTCAATACCTCCACCCTGCTCCCTCCTTTTCGCCCTCCTCATCCTCCTCCTTCCTCTTCATTTTGCCGTACAGCGGCTTGTCGAGTTGCGCGTGTGCTCATCCAGAATCAGAGACCGTTATCGGAAACACGGCCCGCGCTATAGGCGCTACGCACGTCCATCGTCGTTCGGTGGCGATGCCAGGAAGCAGAGAGCGAGACCTCGCATCACGGTTCTAGCCCACCCCTTTGAAAGCACCCGCTCCAGCTTTTGTGCCTTGGGGGCACTCCTGTTACTCCTGGGGGGGGGGGAGCGAGGGAGGGACGAGGGTCGAAGAAGCAGGATGGTGTGGAGAAAAAGACGAAAAGGGGCCCTCCTATTACTCTTGGGCACATATACATACAACGGGGGACCGGGCGGCCGTGTACAAAGTTTGCAGGGCGGCACTGTGAGATTGAAAGGTTTTGGTGGGCAGCATTTCGAGACAAAATCATCTATTCTTTCAGTCCGGAGCTTCTGCCGTAACGGGGTGGTCGTCGAAGACGCCGCTGACGCATCCGTGCTTTCTGAATCAAATACTCGTGTGTTTGGTATGTTGATTGATCCAAACATGCAGTGTCGCACCATTGTGCGTGCTCATGTCGATTCCTTGCCGTTGCGCCGTTGCCTGGCGCCTGGCTTGACTGGGGGACCGGGCCCGGGGCCCCGGGGCCGCGACCCCGACCACGAATGGGAGGCCCGGGGGCCCGGCCTCCAGAGCGCTCAGACTGCCGTCCAGGCGCTTCAGGAGGGCCCCCAATCGCCCCACAGACGACCTGCAGGGGTGTGAAACGGCCCAGGAGAGCTTCAAGACGCTTGAAGAGGCGCCCCAGACAGCCACAGGGAGCCCCAGGAGACCCCCCAGGACGCCTCCGAGAAGCCCAAAACTTCAAAAACCCGATCGAAGGGAAATCGATGATTTTGGCCTCCTCGCCTTGTCGCCTCCGATGGTCTCTTCAAGCAGATCGCCCCACCGAGGCTCCCAGGAGGCTCCAAAACGCCCCCCAAAAGCTCCCAAGAAGCTCTAAGAAGCCCCAAGAGGCTCCCAAGAGGCCCCCAAGAGGCCCCAAGAGACCCCCAATGGCCCCCAAGAGAAGCCCGAGAGGGCCCCAAGATCGGCCCAAGAGGGGAACCCGAGCTGCCTTTTCGAGCTCTCGGCCCCAGGATCGCCTTCGAGGTCGCCGACAAGCTCCCAAGAGGCCCCCAAGGGGCCCCAGGACGCCTCCGGGAAGGCACTACGAGACCCCCAAGAGGCCCCCAATTGGGCTCTGAGAGATTGCCAAAGAGACCCTATGATACGCCCATGAGGCTTGTGGCCCACAACCCAGGCACATTCCCCTGATCGGCCCCAGACCGCCGTCCAGGCGACTCGGGTAGGCCCCGAATCGCCCCCAAGATGGTTTCGAGGAGTCTCCAACGGCCCCGAGAGGCAAGCATGTACGTGTGCAATGGTGTGTGCTTACATATGTGTGCATGCAAAGTTCGGTGTCCGCTCCCTTCTTCTCCCTCAAAAAAATGTGTGCATGCAAAAGGCGAGAGACAACACTTAGCCGGGGGATGGGCTCAACCCTAATCATGCAGTTGCGTGTAGCGCAGGGCGCGGCTCTTTCTTCTTGCCCCAAAGACGTCCATGACTGCAACTGCCGCTGCTCGAGGTGTGGTGGCGGGTGCTTCGAGCTCGGGGGAGGGATCTGACAAACTCGCTGGCACGGCCAGCCAACACATGCGCCTTTCTGCCTGTCCTTCTGCTGGCTCGGCCAGCCTCCGTGCGCTAGTACCTGCCGCGTAAAGCCTGGCGCCCGCCGCTGCGGCCACTGGGTGTAAAGCGTCCCGTGCACTGTACCCACGGGAGGTGCGGGTGGCGTATCGGTTTGGGCGTCCTTGCGGTCGCCTATTCGAGCGGGAGGATTGGCACGTCTTTGTTCATCCTCCTGCCATCCACCATTCATGAGCACGGTGCCAGTCTGTGACGCGCACCTTTGCTAGCTCGCTCGCTCCCCCAAAGAAGTCACTGCGAGGTCCCCACGTCGTCGTCGTCACCGTCTGTGGTCCGTCGTCCGTCGTCGTCGAGAGCCGCCGAGCGCCACCGAAGGCTGGCGAAGCAGAGAAAGGAGAGGAGGACGAGGAGGGAAGCAGTCGGATGAGGAGGCAAAAAGGAGGAGGGGGAGGAGGACGAGGAGAGGAAAGGAAGAGAACGTTCGGCAGGAGGAGTGTCGGTGTTGAAACCAGCGCCTCGCTCAAGACGTCCTCGCAATCTGATCTGAAAGCGAAGGAGTCTGGACAACCAAACAGGCAAAACGCCTGAGACATCCCAAAACTCTGGGCGCGAACGGGCCTGTGCAATACCCCCTGGCGGCCGCCCTCGGGGTGCTGAAAGCAGCGCCTCGCTCGATGCACTCGCAAATTGACTGTGAGAAGAACCTGAGTGTGAGTGGTCTGTGTGAATGACTCTGAGTGTGGGTGAGTCAGAGTGTGAGCGATTCTGAATGTGTATGCGTAGGGGCGTGAGTGAGTCTGAATATGCTCAAGCCCTGGCAATCTGCTCTGAAAGCATAGAAATCTGGGGGAATGGGCAAACACAGGCAAACCGCCTGAGACATCCCCCAACATGAAACCTGAGTATGAGTGCGTATCTATCATATGCGGGCCCACGAGGGGGAGCTCCAACTCACATTTCGAGCCCTCCGCCCCAAGTCGAACCCCGAGACCGCCAGCAGGCCCCCAGGAGGCCCTCAAGAGGGCCCAAAGAGGCCCCAAGAGGCCCCCAAACAGTACTTGGGACTAGTGCGCCTGGATTCTAGATAGATTAGGTGTGCACGTCAGCTCTGTAGCCCTTCTACAGCTCGAGGTACGTTCAGAAAACCGGCAGCACCTGTCAAGATGACACTAAACAGCTGATCCCGCCCACATGCTTTTTGACAGCAATATGTACCCGATCGATCTGAGATGGAATCAGATCGAATATGGAGGGAACAACTAGTAGAGCTCTAACGACCTTGTAAATTTCGAGAACATAATGTTCAACCGACCAATAATATGCAGAACTTCCGTCGAGATTTTTCGGGCCAACTAGCCCCCGAGCGCATCGGGATTACTTGTAACTAGCGTGTTTCATGACTACGTCCCGATTGCTGTGCCGAACAGCTCTAGAGCTTATCTACAGCTTGAGTTGCACTAAGGAAATCATCTTCATCTCTTAAACCATAGCAGAGTACGAATAGTTTGTTGGTACTAGCTCTGGTAGCAAACCGAGTTCAGACATCTAGATTATTGAGACTAGCGCTCCGATTTTCTTTCGAGTGCTCTGCCGAACAGCTCTGTAGCTCATCTGCAGCCCGATTTAAGTTAAGAGAAGACATCATCCCATGAACATAATAGTAGAGTTCGAATCGGTTTTTGGTTCCAGATCTGGCAGCAGACGGAGTTCAGGCATCTGGATACTTGTAAGTCGCGCTTTTTATGACTACCTTCCGATTGCTGCCGAACAGCTCTGCAGCTCATCCGCAGCTCGAGTCGCATTAAGGAAATCATCCTCATTGAAAAATTAGCAGAGTACGAAGAGGGTCTGCTACCAGATGGAACCAAAAACCTACTCGGACTCTGCTAGTTTTTTTGAGATGACGCTTATATTCTTAAGTTCAATCGAGCTGCAGATGAGCTACCGAGCTGTTCGGCACAGCACTTGGAAGACAATCCAAAGGCGCGCTAGTTCAAGTATCTAGATGCCTGAACTCGGTCTGCTGCACGAGCTGGAACAAAACAACTATTCGTACTCTGCTAATTTTAATGAGATAATGATAGTTTGTTCCGACTTCATCCGATTTGTAGGCTGGCTACGGACCTGAAACAAAAACATTTGTCGAAGCTGAAGGTAACCAGGTACATTCGCCTACGGTATCGAGGCGTCTGAATTCGGACTGCAACCATAGTTACGACCGGACAACTATTCGCGCTGTTTGTATTGTACCAGAGATGATGTGCGTTTCTGCATTGCAGGCCAGGGCCGGCGCCGCTATCTTGTGGAATTTCTGGATTTTTTGAATGTTTGGATTTTTTTTGGATTTTTTGGAATGTCTGGATTTTCTGGAATTTCTTGGATTTCTTTATTTGAAGTGTGCGTTGAGAATGCTGCTTAGGAGTGTTACACTTTTACACATTCCACGAAACTCCAGAAATTCCAGAAATTCCAGAAATGTCAGAATTTCCAAAAATCCCAGAAATTCCAGAAATTCCAGAAAAAAATCCAGAAATTCCAGAAATCCCAGACATTCCAGACATTCCAGACATGCCAGAAATTCCAGAAATTCCAGAAATTCCAAAACATCCAGAAATTCCCGACATTCCAGAAATTCCAAAAATCCAACAAATATTCAGAAAATTGCTGGAATAGAGAAAGTGCGTGGTGAGTGGCGCATTCTGAGTAGTGCGTTGTGAGTATATCTGAGTAGTGCGTTGTGAGTACATCCAGAAAATCCCGACATTCCGAAAATCGAGAAATCCCGGGAGTTTCACAAATCCAATAGGTCCTCAGAAAAGCAGGGCCGTGAGTAGAGAGTAGGGGATACGGAGTGAGTCGTTGTCCGCGAGTAGAGAGTAGGGGATAGGGAGTGGGGAGGAGGGAGTAGTGAGTCGTGAGTCGCGGGTCGTGAGTAGTGAGTTTGTAGTTCTCAGTAGGAATTGGCGAGTAGCGAGAAGGGAGTAGCGAGCAGCGAGTTGCGAGTAGCGAATTGCGAGTAGGGAGAAGGGAGTAGCGAGTTGCGAGTATCGAGTTGCGAGCAGGGAGAAGGAGTAGGGAGAAAGGAGTAGCGAGTAGCGAGCAGCGAGTAATGCCTGGCTCTAGGAATTCCTCTGAATAGCGGCGCCGCCCCGGCCTTGTCACTAGGGTGTAGTGAGTGCTGAGTAGTGAATACTGAGTAGTGAGTCGTGAGAGGTGCGCATTGTGCGGTGCGTAGAGGGTGGTGGGGTAGGAATCGGGTTCCGGAGCCAGGGGGGCCCCTTTTCAAAGGGACGGGGAGGGCCTAAGATGCCCCCCGAGACGGGCCCAAGAGGATTCCAAGACTGCCCCAGACGCTTCCCAAACGCCCAAGATGGTCCCCAGACGGCCAGAAGTCGATTCGGAGGAGGAGGAGAAGGAGGATGAGGAGGAGGAAGAGGAGGAGGAGGAGGAGGAGAGGAGGAGGAGGAGAGGAGGAGAGGAGAAAAGGAGGAAGAGGAGGGTGATGAGGATGAGGGGGATGAGGAGTCGGGGGAGGAGGAGCGGGAGGAGGAAGGA